CAGCCCTGGTGTCTGCTGGAACGTTGGCCATAGAGCTGGCAAACAAGGATATTGGTTGCACAGTCCTGGATTGACAATTGGCTGGCATCCTGGTATTGTTTTCAGACATCTCTGGGAAGCGCTGGACCCACCAAACCCCAAGGCAGGCAGAGCAAAACCATTGAAGAAAAAAAGAGACAACAGGCACAGAAGCTCCAGTTTGCAAGAGAAATCCTCCTCAAAACTGAGTTCATCTGCTGAATGCAGCAAGGCACTGTGCAGAGCATTGCAATAACCCACACCAGCTGCACATAAAGGCCTAGCAGAAAACAAATCCCTTCTATGGGCTTGTCACTGTTAGCAAGACACCCTCATTACATACTGCTGCTTATAGTGACGCCACTGGGTGACCTCAGAGATAAAAAGAAATTGCCTCTGAATCCCAGAATAACAGATCTCCCCTTCTGCAAACCTTCCCCTCTGCTGACCTGCTGTACCAGTGTGTGCCACGCAGGGCGCAGATTTAAGGAAAACATGACTGGTATTTACCTGCTCCACTGGCTTCCTCTTTCTTTGAGACAGAAGCACAAGGAGTTATTTCTGAAACACTGAATCTCCTGAGTGCCAAGAGAATAGACAAGCTACAGGAAGCATTTGTACAATCTAAGCTCAACTCAGCAGCAATTCCCCAAGCTGCCTTTTTGAGAAATTGCTGTATTTTAACAGGAATTTGAAGGAGGGCACACAAAATATTAAAAGGGCATTTTCTGTATCTGGTAATGGAGGATATCAATGGCAGCCTTCTCCTATGCAATGTTATCACTTGCCCTGCAGTGGCCTCCATGTAAAGAGGCTCCTGGGCAAGTAAAATAGGTCCAAAGGCAGCAGACAAAATTCACAGGTATGAGCCAAGCTGGACCCAGGGCTGGTGAATCCATCCAGAGAGAATGATTTTACAGCTCCAAAAGTGATCTTCAGATTGTGTCACTTCAAAAGGTTGGAAATAACCCCAAACTCAACAACATAGGCAGAAAGGCTCAAGTTCTCTACCTCCTTTAAGCATAAGAAGAAGATAACCTGTATTTTGGCTTTGCATATGTAAGATGAAAGAAAAATCAGAACCTGAAGGATGGGTAAAAAAATGGGAGAATACAGGAAAGAATTACAGGCAAAAAAAAAATACTCAAAGACCCAGATGCATAAAGGAACCCACTGTACGGTGGTGTGGTTGGTCACAGGGTACATAAGAGGGAAGAGAGGAGGTAACAAGGAACAATTAACTAGAATTCAGCGCTGCCCTCAAGCACCACAAAAGTACACAGAATTCCACTCCACCTCCCTTCACACACACACACGAACCTAACTTTCAGGAGTACAGAAATTATTTTAATTTTGTCTTTCTTCCTCATTAATAGATGTCAAACCTCAAGAATAGTGCCCTAAACATAAAGGGAACTGAATAAATATTTGTTGAATGGATGAATAAACAAAGTTGTCACTCCTTGGGTGTATCACCTAAAGAAAAATAAGAGTAGATGTTCACTGAACAATGCCTAATATTGTTATGAGTAGTATTCATTACTGGGAGTTGGAGTTAAACATGAAACTCAGTAAACATTGGTAGTTAATTGTAGTGGGTATCTCAATTTGAAGGGCTTCAGTTTTTTTAAATTAAGGTAGAATTACATGCAATAAAATAAACATATCTTGTGTGCTGGGTTGATGCATTTGGACAAATGTTCAAGATAAGGAACATTGTCATAAATCCAGAAAGTTGCCTGTGTCCCTTTGCTGTCAATGACCCACCTCCCCAAAAGCAGCCATTATTTTGATATCTAACCCCAGACTAGTGTTGCCTCTCCTTGAACTTCACATAAGTGAAACCATACAGTATAATCTTCTGTGTCTGGTTTCTCTTATTCAACATAATAGTTTTGAAATTCACCCACATTGTTGTGGGAATTACTAGTTCCTTATTAATGAGGAGCATTCCATTTTATGAATATACTATAACTTATTTATCCATTTCCTTATTGATGGACATCTGAGTTCTTTTTGATGTTTTGCTATTATGAATAAAATTGCAATGAATATTCTTATACAAATATTACTTTGGGATATATGTTTATATTTATTTCCAGTAAATACCTTAGAGTGAAATTGTTGGATCATAAGGTTTATGTACAGTTAACTTTATAAGAAACTGCCAAACACTTGCCCACTGTGGCCGTAAGTTTGCATTCCCACTGGAAATATATATGATTTTCAGTAGCTCCACATCCTTACCAACACTTGTCCTTCTTTTCATTGTATCCGTCCACCATGTGCAATGTGGTATCTCACTGAGGATGACAGTGGTATCTCACTGATGACAACGCTGTTAAGGCATGTTTTCATGCTTAAATCAATTTCTCAATTTTAGTTGCCTTTTTTTATTATTGACTTACAGTTGTTCTTTATGTGTTCTGAATGAGCCCTTTGTTATATATATTTTTAAAATAATTTTCCCTGTTTGTGGCTTACTTTTTCCATTTTCTAGAAATCTCTATACACAGTCAAAAGTTTCAAATTTTGATGGAGGCTAGTTTATTATTTTTACTGTGTGCTTAATGCCCTTTTGCATTCTGCTTTCTCAGATCACAAAAATATCCTTCCACAATTTCTTCTACAGACTTTATAGTTTTATCTTTTACATTTAAGTCTGAAATTTATTTTAAGTTATTTTGTGTATAGTGGGAGGTCAAGGTTTATTTTTTCTCTACAGATATCCTGTTGATCTAATACCATTTGTTAAAAAGACTTTCCTTTCCCCAATGTCATAATTTTTCATCAAAATAATTTGAGTTTTCAGTTATGAATTAAATTTCTTAGTAAATTTAGAGCTGTTTAGATTGTCTATTTCACTTTGTGTCAGTTTTGGAATATTGTGGGATTTCAAGTAATTTTCCCATTTTATCTACATTGTCAAATTTAATGGCATAAAGTTTTCATAATTTTTAAAAATACTTTTAATGTCTATAGTAATGTCTGTAGTATTTCTGGTGATATCCCCTCTTGCACTTTGAGTACTGATTATTAGTATTTGTATATTTTTGTATGATCATTTGTGCTAGGAATTATGAATTTTCTTTTTTAATTAAAAATTTTTATTTATTAATTTTAGAGGAGAGAGGAAGGAACAGAGAGATATTCATTGATTGATTCTTATATATGCCCTCACTGGGGATCAAACCTGCAACCTTGGCATATCAGGACAATGCTCTAAGCAACTGAGCTACCCAGCCAGGGCTGGACCTAGTTTCTTTAAAAATGTTAAGAGTATTTAAAATGTGTGATCAAAGAAGATGTGGATAAGCTGGGCTTAAATTTCTCTAGGTCCCTTAAGAGCCATGTCATTTTTAAAAAATTTATTTTATTGTTGTTCAAGTACAGTTGTCAGCATTTACCCCCTAGCACTATAATCTTTTCGAAGAACCAGATTTTGGTTTTGTCAATCTCCTCTCTATATTGTGCTTTACTTTGTTTATTTTTATTTTTATGTGTATTAGTTCCTTCCTTCTATTTCATTTGGGTTTACTTTGTTCTTCTTTTTTTTACTTCTTAATATAAATCACTGACTTTACATTTTTCTTGCTTTTTTTAATTATAAGCATTTAAAGCTATGAATTTCCCTCTTACCACATCATCAACTTTATTCTTGATGTCATGTTTTTTATTGTGATTCCATTCAAAATACTTTATGTCTTTCTGAATTCTTCTTTGACCCATCAGTTATTTAGAAGTGTGTTAACTAACTTCTAAACATGTGTTGACTTTCTAGATATATTTTTGTTTTTAATTTTTATTTTAATGCTATGTGGTAGAAGAATGTGTTCTGCATTATTTCAGTCTTTTAAAATATATTCCAACTCGTTGTATGCTCCAGAATTAGTCTAGCTGGTGAATTTTCCAAGTGCACTAGGAGGAATATGTGTTTTGTCACTGTTGGATGGACCACAAAAGCCCTCCACTGCTTCATCATTCCTGTCTGGGAATCTGTCATATTAACCCCCACCCCACCAAAGCCAATGCTTCTGTTGCACAGTATTTTTTTTTTATCTTAGTTAATTAAATATGGTACCCACACTGCATCCAGTACCTTCCCAGCTCCCTGGGGTCTCTCAGGTATCCATGTAATATGCAAAGTGAAGATAAATCTCAAGCTGCTGAAGCAGTTTGGAGGCCATGCATTGCTTGTCAAAAATAGACAGGATAACAATACAGGCTTCCTTTTTGATGTCTTTTATTTTGCCCTTTATGTGCTATTGTGGTAACTGATTTGAAAGTTCAATTGTGGGGGAGAAGAGAGTGCCACTGGGACAGCTCTTGTCATTGTATGCGTGCCATCATCTACCAATCCCTGTGAGGTCTCCCTTCTCTGTCTCAGGGTATAGCTTGTGTGGTATGTGAGGTAATTTTTTTTTCTGCAAAGACATTTTTATAGTTAATATGTATGTACTAGAAAGTGTGCTTTATGAGAAATATAACCTCCCTCTCCAACCTATGCTTTATAGAAGTGGCACACTTAAATTTTGGAAATTAGTTGATTTAAAGTAATGACTAAGTAAATGAAAATACAGGGCTTTGTCCATATGGTTAAATGTGTAAACAGGGTACACAATTATGAGGTTTAGGCAAAATGGTGTGATAACTGCTATATTGTCAACATCTGCTACTGCAATGATGTAAACAAAACTTCATTGTTTTGAAATTATCCTAAGTCCTTCAAGGACCCTTCCTTCTGAGATTTGAGAACCTAGCACAGGGAGCAGCGCACGATTACTACAGTGTACCTGGGGAAAACGTCCCAATCGCACCTGACAATATTTGTCTGCCTTGTTCCAAGAAGGTTCTGTCCCTGGGCATGGGATGGGGTCTGGAGCAGCTCAATGGGAAATGATTTGGGAAAAGAAGTAACTCGAGTCCTCTGTTGCCCAGGCTTTCATCCCTCCCCTGTGTTCAGCACATAGCAGGACACTCACCTTTTCCCATTCTCGGTCCTTATTCAGCACAATCACCACCAGCCTGGGGTGCACCTGATAGCCTTCCTCAGTGAAGGACAAGTCTTTGCCATCCCATGTCACATTGACCATAAATCTAGAAAAAGGAAGAAAGAAAGGCAGTTTTTAGGGAAGAATCAAAGAGGAGTCAAACAAATGAGTGTATGCCACCATCAATGTAACACTGACAAAGTATAAATGTACAATGCCATCACTCGTCTCAAGCAGCCTCTACCTGTGGAAGTATTAGCATACATACAGGCCCTGCTAGGTACTCTTTTTCATGAGCCTGTACTCATTTTCAGAATCTCCAGTTCTATACAGGCTTTAGTAATCAACTGCACTTAGCATGTGGGATAGAGCCTTTCGGTCCTGTCAGACCCTTACACCCTTGTTCAAATGACCTTTTTACAAGAGGATATGAACACATGTTCTATTATGTTTCAACAAGCTTCCCTAAAGGAAACACATAAACTCATAAACTACATGATATACAACTTCAAAGAAATTATTTCCCATCTATTCACTATTTAGTCAAGTCATATTTATTAAACATTTGGTACATGCCAAGACTCAGCTAGTTGGTTGGAGATAAATAAGGAAACAGAGGTAACTCCTCTCCTCGAGGAGCTTATAGTGTAAGGGAGAGTATAGGCACTAATTGACTAATTATAGATCTAGGACAAGTTCTACAATATCGAGGTGGGTGTGCTGGGTGAAAGTGAAACAATGGTCATCAGGCAAGACATCTGTAAGGAAGTGCAGCTTGCCCCATAGGATGAGTCAGCTTTAACTAGGTAGGAAAAGACATAAGCATGCTTCAGGCAAAGGGGAAAGCCTGGGCAAAAGCTCTGTGGTAGTACATATGAGGGACTGAGCGCCTCAGTGAAGATGAAGCAGAGAGACACAGGGAAATGTAGGAAGTGGTGCAACTGAGATGGTGAATAGGAACAGACGATGATGCAAAGGTTTTCAGGCCATGTTAAGGAGTTCCATCTTGTTTCAAAGTAATGGAAGACACTGAAGGTTTTAATTAGGGAGATGATATAATCAGACTTTTCTTGTATAACATGACTTGAAGGCTATGTAGAGAATAGACTTAGGGGAAACCAGAGTGGATAGAGGGGCTTTTGTTACTATGTTTTTATTATCCACATGAGAGGTGACATTAGCTTTGGTCCTGTTGTGGCCTTGAAGAAAGAGAAGTAAGAGTAGAAGCAGCAACAAATAGGACCAAGTAGAGAAATGTTTAGCAGGTAATTAATGATGAATTAGATGTGAGGCTGAGAAAGACAGGTATCAAGGACAGTGCCTCAGTATCTGCCTTATATAATATCTCTGCAGTCAGCTCTTGGCATAGGCATTTTCAACACAGGTGACATCTGTCTGTCTTACAGTACTCTTATCTCCACCACTCCTCAAAGTCTCCTTGCCTGTAGTCAGGTTAGACTCAGATGGGAAGGCAAGGCAGAGTTCGCTTCTCAAGATTTGGATAGGGAATCCCCAGGGGTTCACATCTCTTAGCAGCTTGAGAAGAATATGATGTTGTTAAAGACCTCCAAAAAAAAATACCACCTAGCAGACACTTAATAAATAAAGTATGTTGAATTGAAGTATTTAAAGACTTCCCAGAAAGACATGGCATCTCAAAGTCATGGCATTTTCTTCCTTTATATTCCTTTGACACTAAAGTCAGCTGAAGAAGTAAAATATTAAAGAGGAATATTTGACTGCAGAAAAATTCCAAAAAGAGGAATTGACCTAACTGGTCACATGTTTGTGCCTGGGCCACCATAGTGCAGAAAAATTGACTGTGTTGTGTGTGGGGAGAATCGGTTAATCAGTTCTCCTACAACGAGGTGAAGAAACTGGGCTAACGTCAAAGAACAACTATAGTGTATCCATTTGGCACACTATTTGGGTCATTAAAAATCATACTTTTAAAGACAAGTTAATGACATGGAGAAAAGGCATGGTATTTAATGTTCAACAAGCAGAAAAGAAAATGAAGATAAGGCTTGTCTATGCTTGGAAGGATTATAGGCACTTCTTTTGTATCATTGTAGTCTCCAAAGTTTATGCAGATACTTTCTATTTTAAACAAAAATACTGTTTTTAACACAAAACACTGCTATTCTAGAAGAAGCAAAGAGTGATTACTATTCTATTTAGTGCATTTGAGGCATCTCAGATCATTTCCTAGTAAGATAACTTATTGATTCTGTTACAGAACAAACAAGGGGGGGCCTGGGATGATGTAATATTGCCGAAAGAAAACCCCAGGTCCGTTATGTCCGCCACCCTAGGAAAGATGTCTCTCAATGCCAGAGATTCATGAAAAGGAAAGGAAATGTTTATTTAATGCTATACAAACTTAAAGTAGTGACCTAATGTCTTCATCAAAAATCCTAAAGTCCCTTAAAACACCCAAACAGACACAGTCCTTCCTTCCCCCTTTGCCTAGTCTAGAGTACTGTATTTTACTCAGGAAAGGAAATAGAAGTCCATGGCTCAGGCAGTCCCTGGTTCTTCCCAGTACTCTGTGCTAGGCTGGTAAGCCTCCCTCAGTTCCTGGCACCCTCAGCTGTGTCGCTGGCATCTCTGCTAAAGCTGGGTGGTGGTTCCCCTTTCTAAAGGTGCGGGGGTCCCCACTCAGCCAAAACCGCATGCTACTCTCCTCTCAGGGCCACGGTCAGGGCGGGGACGGGGGGTCACCACTCTCCAAAGCCGCCTGGTTCCCCCTCAATGGCTGCCGAGTCTGGGTTTAAATGCCTGCACCAGTCTTCCTCTGCAGCCCCATTTCCAACTCCTCCTACAATCGGCCTCACATGTCAGAACTCATATCCTTCCAGCTTTACTGGACTGCTATCATGAGTCTGGGCAGGTGTGACCCCATGGCATGGAGCCAATCATCTCCAAGCTCCCACACAGGCAGCGCTGTAACTCGGGAACCTGCCCCCCAGTTACATCTTGGTGGAGAAGTTACTTCCATTCCCCTGGCTCAGAGCAAGGCCACAGCTATTTAACATATCTATGTAACCAGTCAAAGGTTATAGATGTGTTAAATGACCACAACAGAGGGTAGGTGCAAGGCTATTGCTATGCGAAACAGCTCTCAATGGCCCTGCTCCATTTGTCCCTTCCCCCAACCCACACCTGGGGCAGGGGCAGTGGGTCGGGGGGAGGGGGGGTGAAGACATCTTAAAATCTCCTGGACACCTTGAGTTCTGGACCCCATTCCAAATGCCCATTTGGGGTCCCCCCTCTTGGCTGCACCCTGTAACAATTCCACAACTATTTATTGAATGTCTACTATGTGTCAGAACTATTGGTGAGTCCTATGGATACAGAAATAAAAAACACAGTGCCTCCCTGCTCTCTTACCCTCATTCTTACAATTCAGTGGCATAGACACATAAATAATAATAATACTAGAATGCTGCTTGCGTACTGATGGACAATGAGAACATAGAGGAAGGGCCTCTAACTCAGCCTAAGGGATTTAGGGAGAGATTCCTGGGAAATCTTTTGTTTTTTTAATCCTCACCCAAGGACACGCTTATTGATTTTAGAGAGAGGGGAAGAGAGGGAGAGAGAAAGGGAAAGAAACAACAATGCGCAAGAGAAACATCAATTGGTTGCTTCTTGTATGCACCTCAACCAGGGATCTAACTCACAGCCTAGGCATGGGCCCTGACCAGAATTGAACAGGGACCTCCAGTTTACAAGACAATGCTCCAACCAACTGAGCCACACTGACCAGGGTGGATTCCTGGGGAATCTTGAAGAATGAGGGGATTGAGGAGAGGCACAAGAAAAGGATTCTGAGCAGGGAAATAACCTTAAGCAAGGAAGACTCAGCACAGGGGGTTACACATGCTAGGGAAAGTAAGAAATAGCTTAGCAAGATTGGCAGGAAGTGGGGTTTGTCTGGAGAGAATCCATGAAGCCAGTTCATAAAGGACCTTAAATGATACCCTAAAGAGTTTGGATTTTGTTCAGAAGGCTATGGGGATGCATGAAAGATTTTTAAGTAGAGGTAGGATGCATTCAGATTTGTTGCCAATAGAAGCAGAAGTAAAAACAAAGTTTCTCAGCATTTGAAGACAACTTAAACATTTTTTATGGTTAAGAAACATTCATTATCTAGACAATTGGAATTGGGGTTGTTTGTTTGTTTGTTTGTTCGTCTATCTGTTAGAAGGTGCAGCCAAGAGGGGGGACCCCAAATAGGCATTTGAAATGGGTCCAGAACTCAAGGTGTCCAGGAGATTTTAAGATGCCTCCACCCCTTCCCCCACAAGTGTGAGTTGGGGGAAGGGGCACACAGAGCAAGAACATGCAGGGCAGCTTTGCAGCTAATCCATGGCGTGGTCATTTAACATACCTATAGCCTTTGGCTGGTCACTTAGATATGCTAAATAGCTATGGCCATGCTCAAGGCCATGGGGATGAAAAGGGACCTCCCCCCCAAGATGAGACTGGGGGGCAGGTCCCCTGAGTTACAGCACCTGCGTGGGAGCTGGGAGAAGATTGGCTCCATGACATGGGTCACACTTGCCCAGACCCACAATGGCGACCAGAAAAGCTGGAGAAGACAGCAGATTGAGGGCAAGTGTGCCTGAGTGTAGGAGGAGTCAGAAATGGGGCTGCAGAGGAAGATTGGTGCGGGGATTTAAACCCAGACACGGCAGCCATTGAAGAAAGAACCACACGGCCTTGACAGAGTGGAGACTCCTGCAGCCCTGAGAGAGAGAACCACGCGGCTTTGGCAGAGTGGGGACCCCCGCAGCTTTAGAAGGGGGAACCACCACCTGGTTTTAGCAGAAATCCCGGCGACTCAGCTGAGGGTGCCGGAAACCCAGGGAGGTCTCCCAGTCGAGAAGGAGTACTAACTGGGAACAACCAGAGGACTGCCTGAGCCATGGACTTCTATTTCCTTTCCTGAGATATGGTACTCTGGACTGGGCACAGGGGGAAACGAAGGAAGGACTGTATCTGTTTGTGGGTGTTTTAAAAGGGACTTTAAGATTTTTGATAAAGACATCAGGTCACTACTTTAAGTTTGTATAGCATTAAAAAACATTTCCTTTCCTT